TTTGATATAGTCATTACATATAGATCAATCCTCCATAAATAATTCATAATTAGAGTCAGGTAGAATCCGTTAACCTCTCTAATTACATCTTTATCCTTGAGTACCATTGATTCTCTAATGGATAGTGATTCATAAAACGCATTCATGAACCAGAGCGCTCTTACTAATCCAAGTACCGAATCAACACTCAAGAGAATTATTTATCTGCTTCTTTCTCAAGAAGGAATGGATTCCATCTCGTATAATAACATTCCCAGCTACCTATTTCAGTATGTCTCCAAAATACAAGGAATAGGATTCAGGGTCTCAGAATCCGTACCGAGTAAATCAAAAGACATAAATCCATAAATAGGAGTTTGTTAAGAACTCAGGATTAAGATCATCCTATATATGACCATCGGTAGACTCAATTAGAATTTCTATGCTTAATGGAAATTATTAGAAATTCATATTGTGTCTGCGTCCATGTTCCACATAATCTCATTATGCGAAATACACTCATTCAATATCTCGCCATATTAACAGTGCGGATAACACCGTTCCATTCTAAATGGGAATGACATGTATTTATAATTTTTTTTAATTAAAGATTCTGAACTTTAATTAAATTCATTATGAACAATTACTTTTGATTATTATCCTTAAACATTATCCTCTCGTATACAACACTTATATACCATGTTTAAGGTTACATAAATAATCAAGGAATTTTATTTGATATTCATAAATATATGCACATAAAATGATGAATAAACTCTTTTATTAAATAAATAATAAATATCCTTTTACATCTCATGCTTCTAGGACACTATTCCCAACAATAGCCATTACTTGATCTCTTAATCTAAATTCATCAATTACATTTAAAATTGTATTATATATTAAATCAGTGCTATGCGATCCTAAAACACATTTAAAACATAATATGCTCTTATCTAAATTGAATCTTTTAAAGTAATGTCCAGTTACAGCTAAATAATGTTTATTGGCAATGGCATACCAAATATATGCCGTTAACGCAATGCAACCGCTAGCCGAGTGTAAAAGGTTTATTAATGTTTATTTTTCCTTTTTAAATAAGTTTAACAAATCTTTCCTAAGTGTAGTTTTTGAAGTGAATTGTGCATTAGGATTATGTACAACTTTAATATATCGTTTCAAATTAGGATGCTCTACAAAACTAAGTGGTTGATCTAATGCAACTATCATTCACACAACTTCCATACGATCTACTTGCGGATTGTATTTCTAAGTGGTTAGATCACCGGTTGCGTGATTTAAAGATACTTGTGTTTGGCGGAGTTCGGCTCCGCCGGACTAGCTAAGCTTTTCAAGACACTTTTTAGCGTGTCTTCTCAAGTGTGTTGTGCCGTGAATAATATCACCTTGTAATTTAGATAAACAATATTTACATTGAGCTATATGTTTAGTGTTACCTTCATTGTCCATCTCTTCAATTGTGTCGAAGTGATCTCAAACTGTCGATGTGCGCTTGTATTTCCTCCTAGAGGTTGCAACACTTGCAGACGTAGTAGCACTTACACTCGCCGCTTCTCCACGCCCACCACCATTGCGACCACGACCTCTAGTACGTCCACCAGGGCTCGGATTAACAGATTTCTACGTAATAAATTCATTAGTGGAAAATTGCCCTTCTTTCACATTGTGTTGAGCATCAATGGGAATACCACTATAACTAAAAGAATCCATAATAAAATATAAGAGCGATTTGAGAGAGAGAGCTTTAGGACATTGTGAGAGAGATTTGAGAGATTGAGAGAAATTGAGAGAGTTTGGGTGAGTAAAATGTGTAGGGGATGAGGGTATTTATAGGACAATGTTTGGGTTAAAAATTTGATTTTTTCCCCCCAAATTCATTTTTTTTTTGGGTCGGGTTCGGGCAGGCTCAGGCCAAAAATCGGGCTACGGTAAAAAAATAGCCCTTGGATTCAAGCAGTTTGGGCTTGGATCGGGCACCAATGGTTAAAAATAAAACCGTTGGTCGGCCTCGGGCAATTCGGGCCGTTTGGGCCTGACTGAAAAAATTTAAAAAAATTTCGACGGATGGCGGTTGACGGCGATATCACGGCGGCAGGCTCCGGCGAATTATCCATTTTCGGGATGCCTGAGCCCGAGCCTAAAAAATAGAGTTGAACGGGCCAGCATTTGGCCCTGCCCGCCAAGCCCAAAAAATTCAAGCCTCAAGCCGGCCCACGTGCCTAAAGTTCCAACACTAATTGTTTTTAGATGATGTTTTTCTTTTGTTATTATTTATTATTGTCGTATTCCCATATATTGTTGCTTTAAAATTTTGCATTTATTTTGTTTTTCTATTTTCATTTATTGTGTTTCGTGATCACTTGATCTCTCTCTTTAACTTTATAAGGAGATTTTATAATAAGATTAGAAAAAATAAATTATTAATAATTTTTTATTTTTAATTGTCAGATTTTATATAAGAAATTATATACTTTTTTAATAAATATGATTTTAATCTGATCAACTGCGATAGGGCTGGTCTACTGTAAAAGCTTCCCAACTTTATATCGTACTCATTTATTGTTGATTTCACATGACAACATTCTTAATCATTTTAATATGTATTAGCGTTTTTACATTCCTTGTCGTTTTCATTTTAATGCTTTTGTACTTATCGTCGTTTTTCACTGTTATTGTCCTTGTTGGTTAATGTCGTTTTTAATTTTCTGTGGTATTTTCTTGGCGTTTTCAATTGATATCGTTCCTATCTTTTGTCGTTATCAAGATGATTGCCGTTTTTAAATTTTCAGTCCTTTTGTTAAATAAAAAAAAAAAAAAAAACCCGTCTTGCTGTGTGTGTACTCTCCTCTTATGTATTCAAATTCCTTGTCGTTTTTTCCTTCATAGTCGAATATTTACATTGTTGTCGTTCTGTTTATTCATATATATATATATATATATATATATATATATATTGGCCGTTCCCTTTAATGTCATTTTCCTTCATACACTTGCAAAAGGGGGCAAAGGCTCATCTATATTACCGCTCCTTCCCAATATTTTTATCAGGCAATAAACAAACCAACAAGAGCGAAGAAAAGAGAAAAACTTCAACATATTTCTGGCACTAGTCTTCTATATTTCGGTTCTTTCAAACGAGAACTAACAGCCATAGGGTATAAACTGCAAAGGAAAATAAATACATGGCCATGAAATATGGATGATACTACTAGCTGGGACGTAGAAAACTGAGAGGGGCTACAAATAGCAAATACTAAATAGCAATTGGCATATAGAACTTAGTAAATAGGCTGTACATAAAAATGCCAAGATATTCCCTATAAACAATAAGGCAATAGCTAGAAAGACGGAAAGAAATCACTTGTCGATTCTTAGGTTATTACACAAATGGCCGAGTTCAGGCCTCGCTTCCATCCATGACGCGAATGTCGTATTGGCTGCAGGAGTGCAGAGGAGGTAGGACCTGAACGTTATGAGGAAAAAGTATCGCCTGCGCATGAATTGACACACACAACTAACTATTAGAAGTTTCAAAGCAATAACTCGTATCAAGTGCAGTGCAAAGTGAGAGGGAGAATTTAAGAAACGTCATCAAATAAACAAGCACCTTAGAGCCTTGATCCCCATGTCCATTAAGTATGCTCCATGTTCATCATCGATGTCCGGAAACTTCTCCAGTTCCTTTCTGTAGTAAAAGATATCATCCCGCAAGTGTCCTGCACCTGCACACCTTTTTACACACAACAAACAACCTAAGCACCAACGTTTCCATTACGCCCAACAGATAGATTAGCTCCCTAGAAGAAGAGAAAATAAAACACTTACCTTTCAATGACAAGGTCAGCATCTGCTTTACTTTCTGGACCATACACGAGAACCCTAGTAAGGCTTAGGATATCACGATAATCTCCCATCCTGAGCGTTTCTTCGTTACAAGCCCGAGAAGACAACTCCTCTTCAGCACTATATAACCAGTTTGTACTAGCCAAGGATGTTGGAATTTTCAAAGAGAAGTTTGCCTCTGCACCAATTCTAATACAAATGATAGCCATTGCATATGCCACTCCTCCAAATCCTGTGTGTGATACAAAAAGGTAACATCCTGCAGAACTATACACAAAAGCTGCTTCAGCTTTCTAACGAGCAAAAACATTTTTCAAAATGAATATCCAACATAGTGTCTTAAGAATCCCGGCTCGGGTTCCATAGAAATCATTTACCCACTGAGTCAATTTTCAAGAACCATACTTAAACTTATTCTAGGATATCGGATACTTACTCATCTATGCAGTATTGTATTTCATCAACATCAGAAGATAATGCCTCCCTCTCTCTTGTTAATGGAATTCTCCTATATGTAATATTGTAACCATCGCCTTTCAAAGAAGTATATACTTCCGAAGGCGTCTTCACACCGTCTGGAAAGATGTTTTCCCAGTATCCTATCACACTGGATTGCTTTAGTGCAGGGTTATATTCTTCACGATGTAAAAGAATTCGACCACCTGACTGTCTAACTTCAGCCAATATATCTTCTTTTAGGCGCATTTCCATGTGTTCCACCTGCATTAGATTGTAAAATAAAAATAAAAAGGGGTCAGAAACTGAATGGGGCTCACTTAGAAACTTTGGTATGTAAAATAGGAGAAAAGTTTCAATGGGATACCACTGGACCAGTTATTCCCGCATGCTTTAGTGTATCAACAGGTTTATTTAGCTCCCTCAGAACAAAAGGTGTTCCATTAATGTAAACAACTGCTTCTTCTCTCAGATCTGTTAGTATCACTTTCTGAGCTGCAAATCCTTCAGCTTCGGGCTTAGCGCTTAGATATGATAGCATCTCTTTGGCACCGGCGATTGTTGGAGTTGCCATACTATATACAGGGTATCCATCCACCTGAAAGAAGAAAAAGGAAAAAAAAAAAAAAAAAAAGGGAGAGGGGTGGGAGAACGGCAGAATAAGTCCTTATATATGCAACTTAATCTTGAAACAGTTACATAATAAGCTGTTCGTATTAAAGTGTAAATATATAAAAGGGCCAGATACGAGTGGATTCAATAGTAGAGTGCTCCTCCAATACGATTATCTTGATGTGACTAGTTTTTCTAAAAAAATTTCATAAGAACAAGCAAAAAGAAATCTCATCAACACAAACATTGATATATTTAAAGAAATTTTGATCTCATCTAATATTGAACTGAGATGCAAGAACAATAGATTCCATAACTTAATCTCTTGAATCTTCAAAAATTTCTGTTTTAGGTACAGTGGACTTCTCTACCTGTCTTATTAGACAACATAATAACGAAAGCTTTTTTGCTAAAGATGGCATTAGAGACAAAACCATGGTCTTGCCCCATAAAATGGTAATATAGGAACCGTAAATAATTTTTGAAATTTATACACATGCAAGCAAGCGTACCTTGTAAACATGTGGTGCACCATGAATCTGTATGTTGCTAGAAGTTCTCTGGCCAGGAAAAAAATACATCTTCAGTATAGACCCTTTTCCCAAAACAGAGCCATTACGGGCCTTTACGATTGCTTCCATAACAGCATCCCCATTCTGGGACTCATATGGTGCTCTCAACTCCTCCTGAATTAGAAAACAAATTAGATCCAGCTATATACATGCCAATACAAACAAGAAAATCCACTAAAGAAATACTAACAAGAAAAAAAAAAAAGAGGCCCTATATCAATAAGCATGAGGTATTTACAGGAACGGTAAAAAATCTCCCAGGCCTTAATCTTATGCTCCATTTCATTGCTTGAACCTCCGGTCTTTTATGCAACCAATCCTTAAATGTCATCCTTGATTCTCCTTGTCCGCAAAATCCATCAAATGCTTCACTTCCCAAGTATGCTGCAAAAGCAATCAAACGGAAGTAGCGCTCCAAGTACTCAGCTCCGCGGTTCAGCGCTACTCTCCTTACTCTGGGTTCAACATGTTGTTGATTGAATACCTTTCTATACTGAAGAACAGCTTGGCGTATGTTCTGCAGAGCAGAACATCTGTCAATTATAGCATCTAAGGCTTCCCGGCATTCCACCCCATTATCGAATAGTCTTGTTATTTTCCACAACAACAAGATATCATTTATGCCAAAGCTTTGACCCTGCTCTTTTTCAATTCTTACTTTTGCAACATCGGATGCAGCAACAGGACCTCCTGTTTCTTCGCCACTTGATGATCCACCATCGGCATCTTCATGGGTCATACTGTCAAGAAGGATTTTAATAGGTCTACCATAATCGATTCGAAGTTTCAAAAGGCAAGCTATTACAGTGCCAGTGGTTGTCCTTCCTCTGCCCATCTGTGATTTAAAAATAATACATTTAGAAAGAAACAAAGAATAGAAGAAGACAAGGGTGTTAGTTTACCAATCCATCTCAAAAGCTTAAGCTGTTAGGAGGTGGGTCAACAATAGTTTAATACTTTAACACTGCCCCTCACGTGTGAGCTGGACAATGGGCAATCGTGTTGGTAAATTAATTGGAAAGCCCAACACGTGAATATTTAAGCCCGAGATATATTAAAGACCCAACACGTGATGACAATTTAAATGGGGATAAAGAGTGTAATTACGGGGGTTTGAACTCAGGACCTCCCTCTCTGATACCATGTTAGTTTACTAATCCATCCCAAAAGCTTAAGCTGTTAGGAGGTGGGCCAACAATAGTTTAATACTTTAACAAAGGGAAGAAACAAATACAGTAGATTGACCTGCAAAAGCCAATGAACATCACAATGTGCATGTACAGAAAAGGAGGAGAAGAAATTAAAACATTAACCTGACAATTAAAAACAAAAGCAGTATCCTTGGAAGAAGAAGCAATATTCATCGCCAATGTGTCAAAATCAGAACTTTTTGGAGCTTTACCATCTGTTATAGGTACACGTGCATACTTAATAGGAAAACCATCAGCCTCTAAGCATTTAAAAACCTCAAGTGGAGTCTGAATGGCATCAGAGTTCACATGTTCCCAGGCATCAAATATTTGCCCATCATCTGTTTCATGAATGACCATTATAGCACCCCCATAATGTTCAGCTTCTCTCAGGATATCTTCTTTCAGTCGAGCTTCCATTCTCTCCACTCTCTCGCGATCAATACCCTTGAAAAAAAAAAATTCACCTATTTTTAGTGTCTCCAAAAGTTGTGTGGCGGTTGCTCCCACAACTGCAGTAACACTGCTGTACCATATTTTGACCCTTTCAACAGGTTGCGGCGTGCCATGTTAATCTTGGACACCCATGAACTTTTTCTCTTTTATTTATTGTGCTTTCTTTTTCATTGAATTCCTCGAACCCTTTCTTGAGATAGTTATATTTTTCTTTCTTCAGATATGGAACATCAATGCACTGGTCCAGCACATGCTGCACGGGCACAATAATCTTCATGCAGGACTTCTTTTTTTTTTTTTTTTTTTTGGGTAATTAATGTCATGTGAATAAATCTAGGGAATTTTAGAGAATTTACCGTATATTCAAGCATGTTCTTGTATGGCCTTTCAACTTCACGGAGCACAAATGGTTTTCCATTGATGTAAATAACAGGTTCCTCTCTCATGTTGTGCCAAAGAACTGGGCAACCACCTTTATAACCGCCAATCCTCTTTATAACAGATCGTATTCCGTCGATAGTTGGATTAGCTACTCCATAAACTGGAAAACCAGGAACTTCTCTGAAATTAGGGGCACCGTCCACTCTTTCAGGTAAACTTTGGTTTTGACAACCAGGACAGTGGTCACTTTTCAGAACAGTTTGGCTTCCTAAAACCTCTCCATTTCTCGAGGCAGCAACTATACCCATCTCAGAAGGACGACCGCCAGTAGATTCAGCAATCTTCATCAGGGATGGCTTCAAATTTGCATACCCAAGTGCACCCATGGGATCTCTCCTTAGTAGTCTGGACCCAATTGCAGAAAATAAATTAACCAATGAAGACAATGAGACCACCTAGGATGTGATATAACTTCTTAAGAATCAGATGAAAAATGGGTAAGATCACCAACAGGAATCCTCCAGGTAACCCTTGTACATATTTTTTTCTTCCCTGTTTCCACTTTCAAACAAAAAAATTAAAGTTGGGTCGCGAGAAATAAAGGGTGGTTAACAGTGGGGATGGGGGCAGGCAGGGTTCCAGAAGGAGTGTTTGCAGCCAGGCGAAGTATTAGGAGTAGTTTTTATTATTACTGATTTCAATAGCTAATTATCTTAAATTAAGTTTTCATCATTCAAATACAGCGTCACATCAGTTTTTCTTGTCCATTTAAGTGACAAAAGGGGCAAATTTACTATGTTTTGAAGTTCAGGGGAACTTGCAAAATTTGTCCTTTCAAATTTAGTGTCACGTCATCTTTGCCATCCCTTTAAGTAACAAAAGGAGCAAATTTGCTAGCTCTGGAAGTCTAAGGGTAGCGAATGACAGTTGTCCAAATTTGGGGCAAAGTGAAAAAGTGCGCTAAGTTCAGGGGATTAATAAGATTATCCTACTATTACATAATGAGAGCCTTTACAATTTATATACCTGCGAATAATGCTATAAAGTTCCGGCCTTGCTCTCATCCAGTCAGCAAAACTGACATTATCGAGGGAGCTAGATTGAAGGGCTGATTTTTCCGAGTGAATGTAGACAGCAAAGCATATAAGAAAGTAGTATCTTTCCAGATACTCTACAAAAAAAGATAGCAATGCCTCCCTTTTCATTTCATCTGGTTGACGTAGAATACTGTTGCGATAAGTGGCAATTGCCTCACGCAAGTTCTGTAAATTAGTTTCAAATAATCAGATATCACTAGTTCAACAAACTCTTACGACTTAAAGAATTTAGTAAGAATAAGCATTGAATGAAGGCAACATATTGCTTGGGAGAAACAATAATATCAGATGATCTCTTATTGGAATAGACTTTAGAACCCGAAGTGCATGAGACAGAAGAGCTATACCTGCATGGAGGCACATCTGTCAATGACTTTATCTACTTGTCTTTTTCCTTCAAGACCACCCTAAAAGCATACCAGTTATTGATAAAAAAGTTTATTTAAGTAATATTAGAATTTTCAATCAGTACAACAAGAGATTATATCAAGTATACCTCTAGTACCCGAACTAGGCTCCTTATGACGGCATATTCTCCTCTACGAAGTGCCTCGTCCGAGTTTGAAATATGGTCAGTTACATTAGCAGCAGAGTCAGAAATTCTTCCAATTGAGTTGGTTCTTGGAATACCTATTTATGCAACGACAGGCCAACATTGTCATAGCGACTGACTGGTATGCCAATTGATAACAGAAGAAAGGTGAAGCAAAAGAGAAAAATCAAATGATAAAACTTATTTAAACAGGCTAATATTAGTATTCCAGCAAAAAAGAGTGAATAATACAAGTTAATAACATTTGAGACGCCCCTAAGTATCTTTTAAAAGAGGAATACCTATTTTGTCGACTAGCTTCTTTTAACCTGCCGCAAGACTGTAAGCACGTTTCAAAATTCAAATTTTCATGTTGTCCCATAAACAATCAACAAAGCAAATTCTTTCTTTAGAGAAATAAAAATGCCCCAAAAATAAAACTCTAAGCCTCATTCAGAAATAAAAACAGAAATCTTTCTAGAAAAAGATTAACTCAAAAAGCTTATTTATGGATAAATGTATATGCACAAAGACTGGGAAGAAAACCAACCAACATTTCAGTCCCCAGTTGCATAGCAAGGGTAGAATGGTCTTGTAATTGGGATCTATTCAATGTCTCCCAAAACTATATTAATAAAGAACTAGAGAAATAAAATTTCTACTACCACGTCAAATGTCAATACTATGCAATAACCTTATTCCTGCTCTATGGTTATTTTTTTCATGGTATTGAAAATATTTGATACGTTGATGAAGAACTTCATATTCTTCTGAGTACACAAAATACTAAAAGAAAAGAATTGGGAAAGCTACCAGAAGATCCAATCCGATTGAGGTAAACCAAAGTTGTGATCACCATCCCCGTTGTAGTCCGTCCACGTCCCATTTGACAGTTAAATATAATCTCCGTATTTATATCAGCTTGAGAAATTTTATGGACCTAAGAACAGAGAATGAAGATCATAAACAACAATAAATGTACTTCAGAAATTACTAGAGTACCCCGTTAAAAGGATTTGAAAGAAAAACTGTTGGCATGAGCGCAATGCAGTTCGCTGATAGAAAGGCATTCGTTGTTTCGATTTTGTTGTTAAAGTAAGTAATATAAGTTTTGAGCAGTTTTGACATGATTTGTACGTCTTGACCATTGCATCCTAAGCCAAGGATATGTACAGAATACGAATGCATCGTAGACAAACTTTGTAATACTTGCCGCAAGAAGGAATGTAATACAATAAGTGATTTTCTGCAAATGCCTAGTAGAATATTCAATATCCTCACAATACCAAGGTCTCATTCCCGGCCTCAACAACATGACAAGTAAAAAGGAAGGTCTTCTTTCTATTTTGTTTTTGTCTTTTTTTTTTTTGGTTAGGAAAGAATGCATATTACTAAAGAAAAACCAACAAAACAAAGAAAAAAGGAGAAGTCCTCCTACAGAAAATAAAAAACACAAAGGAAAACAACAAGATTAGTTCTAAATCAAGTTCTCTCACGCCAAAAGAATTAGATAAAAAAGAAAAGAAAAGAAACAAAAAAGTACTAAACTTGAACATTCAAAACCCAAAAACTCTCAGTCCTCTTCAGAAAGGAGATTTATTTTTGCCTTCACCAAAACAGTCATGTCATCTTCTTTTTTTTTTTTTTTTTTTTGGTTGGATAAGAAATGTGAAACTTGCATTAACTCAATGAAAAAAGCAGGCAATATTAAACAATCCCATATTGAGAGAAAAGCAAAATTAAAAATTAAGAGAGAAAAAGATAAAGAACATCCCACATCTATCTCCCTTAGACCTTATTTATGGTATTATATTCACTATTGTGCTTGGTTTCTTCAAGGAGCTAAGATGCGAATGATGAACTTGATTCCCAATCAAATTTTCTACGGAAAAGATACATATCGAGAAGTGAGTAGAAAAAAAGATGATGTAATTAGTCAATTAGTCATGGAATAATTTCTTATTCTATGAAAATTCATGAATGGAAAACAAGATTAAACTCACCAAAATATCAAAATCAGACTCCTTCGGTGCTTTCTCATCAGTTATTGGAACACGCTCATAGTCAACAAGGTATCCTTCTACTTGCAATTCCTCGTACACCTATGTCAAAGTATAGAAGTTTGGGCTTGTTCTAAATTTTTCCTTTTATGAAATAAGTTCCACTAGAGATACCTCGAGTGGCGTCTTCACAGAATCACGAGACACCGGTTCCCATTGGTCCACCATTTGTCCGTCTGGTAGTTCATCAGTGACGAGTATCTTATTTTCATACCTGTGACGTCAAATTCGGAGGTAAAACTTGATGACATTCGAACCAAAGGTGATAGATGACCCTTGTATATTTGAACGAGGCTATTGATAATACAATGCAAGTAAATAAAAGAAAGATACCTTGCAGCTTCCACGAAGATATCGTCTCTAAGTCGAGCTTCCATTTGTTCAACCCTAGCCCTGTTGATTCCCTTGTTCATATAAAGCCCATAATCAATAACAAAATACCACGGACAGGACAGGATAGGTAGTTAATATTTGCTGGTCCATCTTCCCAACACAACTATGAATATTTGCTGAATGCCACTAGAATATGAGAAAGGCCTAGATTTTGCCTAGGATCAAGAGGCATTCAAAATCAGTGGTAATTCTACTTTATTTATAGCATACCGTGTATTCAAGGTTCGAGAAGGGCCTTTCCACGTCACGCAAAACAAAAGGACGGCCATTAATGTAGACTACCTGTTTGGAGGAAAGAAAAGAAGATTATTATTGGTAACCAAAACGCAGGCATGATCAATGATATCAATGAATAATAATAAGCTAATAATATCAATGAATGACGAGTAGAACATAATAATGGAGATACATAGTATAGAAATGAAATGAAGAAAGAAGAAGTGAAGAGATTACGGGTTCTTCGCGGAGACTAATCCAAAGAAGACGGGAAGTCTTGGCATTAATATGATTGAGAACATTGCGGATCCCATCCATGGTAGGAATTGCAACTCCATGGACATGTAAACACTCTGCCTAATTATTAGTATTTTTTTGGGCAATAATATTGGAATGTAATCAGTAAAGTAAGAAAGAAAGAAGAGAGAAATTAAAATTAACGATAATTAGTGGGCAGGGAAGGAAAAGAGAAGAAGAAAAAGAGGAGACCTGACGGTAGTTGGGAGCGCCGTCGATGTGAGGAGAGAGGCGCTTGTTGTGGCAGCCAGGAAAGTGATCGCTCTTCAGAATCGTCTTCTTCCCAAGCACTGCTCCTCCTCTTTCCTTCACTATTGCCTTGGCTGCTTCAGCTTCTGACATCTCCGTTCCTCTCTCTCACTCTCAATCTCAATCTTCTCTTTCTTTATGTTATCTTTTCTCTAACAAATCAACAAATAACAAATGGATAGATTTTGTCTCCAATGTCTTCTCTCTACTACTCTTCTACTTATACTAGTTACATTATTACACAACACATTAATTGAATCATAATACACACACATATATCTCTATATATAAATAGTTAATTTGCAGAGCAGAGGCCTAGAGCCAGAGGCCGAATTTCTCATTCTCATGCCCCTCTCCCTCAAGAGTCAATCCTCACCACCTCAACGTGAAAATCGCTCTCTCTCTCTCTCTCTGATTTATTATTAAAACTGTTATCCTCTCTCCTCCTCTTTTTTTTTTTTTTTTTTTTATATACTGGATAGTGGATAAAACAGTGTATATTCTTCCTTTCTTCCTTTTCTTTTCACCGCCTCTGATCTCATCTCTTCTGATCTCATCATCGTACCATCCCTATTCCGCCCTGCTGACGCTTGGGCCCGCTTTCTCTCTAATCATGGGACATCGCCACACTCGAACCCATCCTTACTTCACTTCACGAAAGCCCGGCCCATATTTCTGACACCTCTAAAAGACAGGCCCAAGCTCAGCACATCTCTTATCTCCCGCTTCAACTTCAATTGTTCTACATTTGTTATAGATTCTCCCTCTCCAAACTCTAGTCTACTCTGGCTTCACCTGGTCGGAATAGCTCCAGGCTCCAGCCTTCTGCTGCACCCGTTTCTTTCTATCCCATAGGTTTGGATTTCTCTCCCTTTCTATTTATCATTTTCCCGTCATTCGCTGTATTTTCTTCTTCTGGAAATTTAATTGCTTTTTTTCCCCCTCTGGAAATGCGCTTTCTATTGAAGTTAAACACAAAAAACAAAAAACCCTAGTCCAGATTCTAGAGAAGCTTCTTCCGGGAATTTTGATGAAATTTTCAACTTCCTCAGAACAAGTAATGGAAGGAGGGGGGTTGGACCGGAATACGTTGGGCGTGATGCCGATCTCCGACGACGTCGTTCGTCCAACAAGGCGGTGCTTCTTGCAGAAATCAAAAGCGAGGCCTCCGATGGTTGCGTTAGCGAGAGCATTCTGGAGAATCTGGAAAGGACTCAAAGGAATGCGATTCCGGAGTCAATGAGAGCAGCGTACTGTATGGTGGCATTAGAATGCACGGTGAAATTCCTGGTGAGCAGTGGGGGAAAGCCTCGGGAAAAGTACTCCAAGGCGTTGAATCATATTTGGGGAGGGGAAGGGAGAATCGGACGGTTGGAGAGGCTTGGGAGGAGTCAACTCCTGTCGGACGGGCTCAAGAAGCGCCGCGACGAGCTTAACTCTGTTTTCGAGGACGAGGATGTTTGTAGAAAGCTTTGTAGAATGAATACCAGGAACGATGCTTTGTCGCGTATTTGTGTTTATTTGGAGGAGGCCTCCGCTGGTATAAGTATAACTAATTCATCAAGCAGACGATGAGGCAGAGCCAAGTCCATCTCAATCTCAACATTTTGATGTTGATTATGGTTTTGGAATTGATAATCAATCCAAAGATGCTCCTCCGAATTTGAAGGAACATAATACTACTACTGCTCATGCTGCTCATGCACATGAGGTCGGTAAAACGTCTACTCAGTAATCTCGTATCTTAATTTTAATTTTTTTTTTTTAAAATTAATCTCTGTCGTTGGTTAAATGGTGCGTTATATGCAAAATTGCGCAGTCCAACTCTGATATTCTTTGTTACAGTGGAATGAATCAATTGACAACTCGCCTAAAACAACTGCCAACCAGAACCATGGAACTCGCCGGCCTATCCCAAAGAGAAAGACTGTTTCTCCGCCGAAGATCAACAAGAACGAAACTAGAATGAGAGGAAAGAAAAAACGATGGTCTTAACATGAAGAAGAGATCTTAAGGACTGCTGTTCAATCGTATGCGCTTCTTTTAATCTCGCGATTTTCGCATCGTTATCACTGGGTGTTATGTTTTTTTCATGAACTATTGGTTGTTTGTTTGTTTAATCTTGAAAGCAAATTTATGCTCACGATTCTGGTTTTGTCATAAAGGTTTGGTCCCAGGTGGAAGGACATCTGGACTACCCACCATGATGATTTTGGAGACAGGACTGCGGTAAGCAAATGTTATGTTGTCTTGTTTGTTTGCAAATTGCAATGCCAGCCAACTTAATTCCTTGTCCATCCGTGTCAAGGCAATTGCTGTTGTTAAAAGTTGGATTTTTCTTCACTCCCACTGGTCGATTTGAAGGATAAGTGGAGAAACATGAACAAAAATGTGCGTCATTGAACTGAAGTATATATGCAGCTTAGCTTTTTGTATTTTGCTTGCTTGCATATAGTTATATGCTTTTGATTGGTTCAACACGTGCTTTTTTTTATTATTATTTATTTTTATGCTTCATAGTTGCCAAATAGCGGTGGTTCTGGGAAAATGAATAGTATTTTGCTCCTTACAAAACAACAGGGATACTCCAAACAGTGATGAAATTTAACACTTTTCCGTGTAAATATCTGTTCCACGGAATGTAATGGAGCCTCACATAACAATGAGATGCGCCCAAAATAAATGAAAACTTGCTGCTTTATGCATGTACTATGTAGATGAAGTTTCATGCCCAGCTCGGTGTGAAATAACTCGAGCAATAATTCGAGAATATAAAACTTTAGGGAAAGGAGGAAAAAAAAAAAAAAAAAAAAAAAAGGATGGTGTCCCCATGCCTCTTGATTTGTTAGGTGGTGTCTTGAGTCGGGTGTTGGTTAAGGTAGGGTTCTTTGCCATGGTCATTAGGATCATTGATTGTAGGAGTTTAACTCCGTATAGGGTTAGAGTTTTGTTTAGCTCCGTCGATCGGTGCATGGACTCTCGATAAGGTTCTTTGAGTCTGCTTGTATACCTAGTTCTTGGTCTTCGGACCCTCAGTTGCACCTTGGTCGATTTCGGCTCAATTTAATAGATTTTTTCCTCTAATTGGAGGCCTTATTCACCCAAAGAAAAATATGCTCAAGTACTAATATATGTTATTCTCACGCACTTAAAGCATTACTAGCCAAAAAAAAAAAAAAAAACACTTAAAACATCTCCAAGGCATTTCTATTATTCTAATGGTTAAAAATGAAAGATGCAGATTTGATTGATTTTTTTATATTTTTACGTTTGGAGCAAGGATTCGTGTCATAGTTTGGATCATAAGTCGTGATAGTAGTGACAGAACTAGTTGCGGATTTAGGTGATGAGACAAGAAGCGGATCTGGGCGGCTTCATGAGAAAGAGCGGTGGAGGAGATGTATGTGCCTGGGCTAGGACGTGGGTTGGGAGGCGGACGATACGTGTCGATCTCAACAGTAGTGTGATGTCTAGATCTGGGTGGCTTTGTGTGGGTTGTACTCATAGAGCAAATTTTGCTTTGGTGATGGGATCCAAAATGAATTTTGTTTGCATAAGAGGATTCTTCATGGAAACGTAGCATTGTATCTGGCTTTGTGTGGGTTGTACTTACATAGCATCAATTTTGTTTTGGTGATGGAATTCAAAACAAATTTTGTTTGTAGCATTATGTTTTCTCTATGAAGATTGTGATGTTGGGTCTAAATGTTTTTTTTTATTATATATAATTGGTTTGAAAGTTTGAGGAAGAAAAAGAAATATAAATATGTGTTTTTTTATAAAAAAAATCTTTTTTATTATTTAATCATTTTTATAGATTTATTAATTAGAATTTAATGGCTTTAGTTAATTGTTAATTATATGCCACATCATTAAATATGTTAATTTTATAGACTGAAGTAGATGGAAAGGATATTTTAATCCATTTTTTATATATCAAGAGGTATTTTGAATTACTTTTAAAAATTAAAGACATTTTAAAATAAGATACATACTTCAATGTGTATTTATGAAATTAATCCTTTTTTTTTAATTTGAGTTTCTAATTAAATAAATAGAAGGGCAAGTTTGACATTTCACTTCTTAAAAAAAGGTTAAATTTTTAGACGTGTATATATATAAATAATAATTATGTATTATATGCTATCATAAAAGTTTGGCCTAAATTAAAAGTGATCTTATAAGGTTTAAAGTTGAATGAGCTTAAGTATGGGCGTAGAAACCCTAATGTTTGTCTAATTTCTAATTTATAATGAGCTAAAATTAGAAATAAGAAAAGTGTGTGCAGTTATAAATGGTTTAGTCCCTAAATTATACGTATGATTCTTTTCTAACATCCTATTATCAAAAAAGTTAGAACCCCCTTCTCTAAAAAATTCAAACGCATCAATTTAGAATATTACGAACCACAAGACTTAAGAATTATATATGTTATCATGAATTCAGGTACGCTTCCGTATTTAGTCTATTACTCTTGATGATTTAACATGAATGATCTTGACATGATGAAGGCTTTCATCTATAACGAAATTTATAACAAGTGGTCTCAAAACCTTTTCATGTTGAATTATTGAGAAACGATTTGGTATTCTCAAATTTAATAATTTTAATTTTGGTCTTATTGGATTTGAGAATAATTGCTATTGGCTTAGTTTGGTAGTGCTGCGGATTTTAAAAAAATTACTTTTAGCTGTGCTGAAGGAAGAAGCAGCTGTTATAAGAAACAACTGAGTGTTTGGTAAACTGTAATTATAGTAGCTGTGCTGGTTCTAAAATCAATGTAATAACGTATGGTAAATTTTGATGTTGAATTGCCGTGGGTATGTAAAATGACCAAAATAGACATGATATGAAAGTTAAATATATATAATTATTTTTAGTATTTAGAAGTATTTATTTAACTTAAAAAAAACATAATGCTATGATTTTGAGTTTTTTAACAATAATTTATGATAATTAATTCTTTTTTTTTTTCATTTCTTCATTCACAATATAGTTACAACTAAAAGGAGCATTAGTGAGTAATCAATTTGTTGAACAAAAAAGTACATTCCATGTTCAAAAACTGACAGTCATTAAAAGAATTAAGTCGTGTTTATTAAACTTGTCACAATTTGATCTCGTATTTTAACCATTTCTTGTGATAGTAAAGCTTCATTTTCTTCTACATTGTCCTCCAGTTGATGCTCTTCATAAGCGAAAACATCTAGATTATCCTTGATTTCTTGAAAATGTCAATCACGCTGATCATGCATCCTAATATAGTTATGAAGCGTCATTGTTGCAATAACTATTTTTACTTGCTTCCTAAATGAATAATTAGGCATGTCTCTCAAAATTTTCTATTTTTTCTTTCAAACACCAAAAGTGCGTTCAATGACACTTTGAAGAGAAGAGTGTGTTTGATTGAATACCTCTTTACTGCCCATTGGTCGACGACCCATTCGAAATTGTGGTAAATGGTATCGTTCTCCTTATATCTAAGAAATCCTTTCAAATGTTTGATTATTTTCTATGACAATATTGGTTAT